TATTAACCCTTTAAACTAATAATAATTGTAAAAAAATAAAAATAAACTAATAATAATAACAAATCATAACAAACAAACAGTCGAGAAGGCACAAAAAAGGAGTTTCCTTTCAGAAAGAAGGCGCAAATCATAACAAACAAACAGTCGAGAAGGCAAAAAAAGGAGTTTCCTTTCAGCAAGAAGGCGCAGAAGGAAACAAAATCGAGAAGATCGTATTATCGTAAACCCTAAATCTTTGACCCCTAAGCTAGTTGCCGTCAAACGAAAGCCAACCCACTTCAAACGAATGATACTCGAGTTATTGGGATCATTCGTTTGAGGTGCGCTCCAGTTTGCACAGATCTGAAGACAAGAATACCATGTACTTAATACCTCTCATCATCCTCAATGTTTGCCTTTAAATACCTCTCAAGTTCCGAAATAGTAGTTTCTCCAGCTCTGTCTTCTATTCTCTTTCTTTTAAATTTTCTCTTCAAATAATCCTCAACATTTTCACACTCCTCGTTCTCGTCATTTGGCTCTACACTCCCCCCACTTCTTGAAGAACTTCCACAAATAACCCCTCTCATTTCTGAATAGTTCTTGAACATGTCATCCAGAAAACCCTTCACCTTATTATGCAACTCCTCCTTGGTCCAATCTCCCCCATTATCTTTCCCATAAACTTCATCAAGTGCAAAAACCACATATTCTAGCTTGTATCTCGGGTCAAGAACCACATCAATAAATAATAAGGGGTTAATATTGTCCAAATTGCCCCAATACTTGTCATGCTTAGCTTTCATTCTCTTTGCCATGATTTTATGACCATACACTTTAGATGAAGTTTCCATTTTAAGCATGCAAGCGATGCCATATACTACATGAAAGAGATCATTGCTTGTGACATACAAAGATCCCGAAACTTTCATTGTAGCATCATAAAATATCTTCAGAAATGGAACTAGAGACTCCACATAAGACCAGTCCAACTCCTTTGGAGTCCCTTTCAACTTCTCAAGCTCAACTTTATACTTGGGATCCTCCTCCTCTAACCTCTCAAATGCCCTTTGAAATTTCAAAGCCGACTCCAACATCATGAAAGTAGAGTTCCATCTAGTCTCGACATCTAAACATACAAGTTTTTTGGTCTCTAACTTCTCTTCATGAGCACAAGTTTTAAATCTCTGCATCCTAGAGTTCGATGATCTAACATATCTGACTGCCGATCGAATACGATAGATTGAATCATCAACATCCTTTAATCCATCTTTCACGGTCAAATTCAATATGTGAGCACAACATCTCATATGGAGATGTTGTCCTTTCAAGACACTTCCCTTCCAGTTGTTAATTCTTTTCTTCAAATATGACATGCCCACATCATTAGAACTTGCGTTATCCACTGTTACAGTTAGGACCCTATCAATCCCCCAACTAAGCAAATGTTTTTCAACCGTCTTCCCAATTGTTTGACCCGAGTGATTAGGAATAGAAGAGAAGTTGATAATCCTTTTTTGCATCCTCCAATCATGGTCAATGAAGTGGGCAGTGAGACTCATATAATCCAAATGATGTCTACTTGCCCAAATATCAGTTGTTAGACAAACTCTGATTTGTGATTGCTTAAAGAAACTTTTCAACTTTTCCTTCTCAGCCAAAAACAACTTGAAACAATCTTTTGCTACAGTGATTCTAGAAGGAATATGAAACTCGGGTCTTAGTGAGGAGACGAAATCGCGAAATCCTTCACGCTCAACATGTCTAAAAGCTAACTCGTCTATGATAATCATTCTAGCAAGCTTCATTCTTGAGACAGTTGGGTCATATGCTTGAGCTACAAAAGAGGGAGATGCATTGCTAGTACCATGAACACCAGTTGCCTGAACGTTAGGAGTTCTATTACTCTTCAAGTCAACATCACTATACGGGTATACTTTACATCTTTGCAAATGTCTTCTCAAACTACTAGTCCCGGAAGTAGATGCACACTTCAATTGCTTTGGACAGTATTTGCAACCAGCAAGTCTATTTGGCTTATCCGACCAATTCATTCTTGTAAAGTGTGGCCACACATCCGAAGTTCCGAATGCACCTTCTTCACTCTCACTAACATTCGTTGGCAGAACTCTTTCGGAAGGTGTGCCGGTAGAGCTAGCCATGGGATTGTTACTAGTTGCTTCGTCCATAATTTCAAATCTAAAAATCACACAAATATAAAGAGTGGTTAAAAACCTGAAATCCATATGGGACTAAGCCTCAATTACTTAGGGGTCGTTTGGAAGTTGTGATTCTTCAAATTGATGTATTGGGTTTAGATTGTGTTTTTGTTGTAAAGGTATAAAAGTTAATTTTGAGTGATTGTTAACAATCTCAACAAAAAGTAGAGATTGACAATCCCTCAATTTTGAGTGATTGTGGTGGGACCTCCAAAAAGTGAATGCATGTATTCTCGTTCAATATAACCCAAAAAAACGACTTAATCTCACAAATACATGTATTATTTCTAGTTACACCATGTGTGGATTTTTGAATTTTATCTGGATTTTTTTAATTGTTATTCCACTTGTTGGGTTGTCTTAAACTACAATATTCAGATGATGATACATTTCATATACATTGTCGTACATAACATAGATGCATGCAAAACTATGTTTCGAAAAATAAAACCATCTATCTAGTCATGGCTGGATCTAACCTAAAAGGTGGTCAATACTATGGTCTCATGACGAACAATCAAATGCATGTGGTTGTAGTTGGGTAATTGATCTAATTACAAGGGATGGGCTGTGAAGACAAGTGGTCTCCCGTGGGCATAACCCATCGGCATGACTCATTCGTTCTTCGCAAAAAAGACCCTAAAAGGTTCAAGGTGGGCCCGAGTGTAGGACCAATATCGGCTTGGTAATATTATCTCATATGTACATGCAAAATCAAAATACTAAATTCATCCATAATTATAAAATATTCATCATTTAACACCACTAAGCATATCTCTTCATGTTAAGCATTTAACACCACTAATCGCCAGATGAGTAGGCGTCAGGATTACCTGCACAATTATCAAATACTAATTAGCTTGAAAACTCTGCACCAATAATCCATAACAAGTACCTCGATTTGATGCAAACAAGTACCTCGATTTGGAAAGGCGATGTTGTTGGCGGATAACGTTCGACAACCTTACCGTTCTTGTCCACCAAGAACTTCTCAAAGTTCCATTTGATCAAATCGCCTAAGAAGCCCCCAGCACTAGACTTGAGAAGGCTAAGATTTCAAGTCCTACATTCAAACACAAACCATGTTTTTCTTTCTTAATACCACACTTAATACTAATAAAACAACTTTCCACGCCAACTATAAAATGAGATACTTACAATGCATATAAATCAGACTCTTGAAAGGGTGCAGAATATGAACTCAGAAGCTAAAGCCTCATCGACTAAGCATGATTCCAATGCCTATAGTAGTAAAATGAGTCTGCTGTGACTCGTGATTTCTCAAACAAAACCCATGGGGATAAAGACTAATGGATAGCAAATTCAGTAAAATTAAGACTTCAGTTAAAACAAACAAATGCAAAATCATATCTAAAGCTATCATCTTCACCAACAATGACTGCCCTATCTTGCAAAGGAAAGACTGGAGCTACTAACAGATTCAATCAAACCCATGAACAACATTTGCTGCCAATACCAAATCCAAACCAATTCATGAAAGACATAACCCAGATCTGCTCCTCTGTTAGACTTATCCTTGGAGGCATCAGAATGATAAGAGGGAGATGATCATCTATTCCAAGTGACAAGCATTTGCTTCTCATAGAGAAAGATAACAATGTCGGGTTTGGGATTATTCAGCTTCTACTCTGTCACTTTCCTAACTATTTTCGAGACTCCATCTGGCACACAGATTTTCTATCAGCAATATCCAGGTATCCATTCTATTCAAACATATTCGAATCCTTAACTGTATGCAATGACAAGAATTACCAATTCAATATCAAAGGGAATACATAAAGGGAAATGGGGAAGATGAAAAGCAGAATAACTATTTCAACCCAGGTGGCAGGACAGTTGTGCAGATGGGATGAAGCAAGTTGAACATCCAAGAAAATTACTCCTTGCTTCTCCGAATTCTTGGAACATCTTTATGGGCTCAGAACAGATTGGATGGAAATCAGAGGAAGGTGCTGTTCTGGTCGTTAGAGTACTGGCAGGGAAGCAGCGATCTTGCAAAGGAAAGACTGGATCATGTGGAGGTTTACAGGCTAGAATTGAAGGAGCTGGCGTGGGTTAGGGCGAGGAGCAGCGTTGTTTCTGGGCTCCAATGCTAATTACACACTAATTACACACTAAGATACGAAAAGTGAGTCGAACCTGGGTTTGGGGAGCAGAGAAGCTGGGATCCGATTCAGAGCTGGGTTGGGTCTATTTTCCCTCCACACCCATCAATCTCCAGCGGATATGAAAAAACCCAGCGCCGTGGTCGCCCCTGAGACGAGAAGGAGGAGGAGGAAGGAGAAGACGGCGTCGTCGACGAAACGGAGAGCTTCTGCTACTCCTCTAGGCGCTTCTCCTTCGACGACACGTCGTGCGATTTCAACCGCGCCGGGGAGACGACGGGGTGCGAGAACGAGGAAGGGAAGCTGCGGCCGGGGGGGCAGGAGAGGGCGGCGGCGGAGGGCGAACCCGAGTGCCGGACCGGCGCAGAGGATGAAGGAGATACGGCGGACTGCGGAGTGCGGAGGTGTTGGCTCGATGATGGCGATCAGGAGATGTTAGCGGAAAGAAGAGATGGGGCTGAAATGGATTTTAGGGTTAAAATGGGTCAAAAATGGGTCTGAATGGGTTTTAAGGGTAAAACCCAAAAATACCCTACCCTCTAGGGTCAGAATGTGACCCGACCCTATTTTGGCCCTAAAGACTGATTGACCCTACCCGACCCATAGAGTTGGGCTGGGCCGGGCTGGGCTGACGGGTAGTAAGGGCCACAGTTACAGGCTACTTACAGCCCTAACAATAATAATCTCCGATTAATTTCCGCCATGCGCGACATCTCATCTCTCCTCCGCTTCCTATCCCGCGCTCTATCAATGAACCGCTCCTTCCAGTTCCAATTCGGTCCCTCGAACGGATGGAATGGCAGCGGCGGCGGCACCTCCCCGTCGCCAAACTCCTCGCGGAATTTCGTCGCCCACAGCTTGTAATCGCCGGAGGAGGATAGCCTCCGGAGGCTGCCACACACGCATTCCATCGCCGCTATCGTTGTCCCCGGCACCATAGCTATGATTGCGATATTGAGTTCGTCCGGTAGGGTGGAGAAGGAGCTGGGCCCTGCCATTCCGGCCTCCTCCGAGATATCGATCAGCAAAGGGTGACACATTCCATCCTTGATCTTTCTCCGAAATTCCGATAGGTCCCGGCGATGAACTGCTGCCGCGAGTTCTCCGCTCTTGTCCAAGCACAGGCTGTGCTGATTGGAATCTTTGCGGACCAGATGGCCGTCACAAGGTTTCCACTAGCCTGGAACTCGACTTGTACCAACGGCGGCCGCGGCGGCTTCTGAATCCCATCATTATTGGCAAGGAGGGCAGGAAGAGTATAATAGGAGGTAGAGTATTGACGAGAATCGGATCAGGTGTTGGAGGACTTACCAATTGGTGTTTCGGCGCTGTAAGCCACGAAGCCCGATTCGAGGAATGTGGCGTGGATTTCGTCGGCCAAGAGCTGAGGCGCCATGCTTAACGAAGACGTCAGCCAAACCTCCATGGTGGTTTTTTCTTTCTTTGGAATACGACCGACGAGAGAGCGTTCCTTGTTTTGTAGAGGGGGAGACAACCTTGTTAACTAGACCGGATCCCTCACTGACATGGAAAGAAATTGCTTCTTTTTTGGTTGGTAATGTACAAAAGTAGTGCTATTGGCGTTTCACCTAATTTCCTTGTTTCAAAATGTTAATTTTGATCCTTCATGGTTCATGGCTTTATTCCTAGATTATTTAATCTGACAGAATTGAGTTTGGAGGCAAGTCCTATGCATATGCTTGTAGGAATGTGCTGCCACCATCTTATCAATTGCTTCAGGAAATCCTTGTTGGGTAAAGGTATATCTTTTCCTCAGGTTTGCTTGTTACTTGCAGGTGAAGCATATGCACTGCTATGCTCTGGGAGATAAGGATTCTATTTGTGGGATGTAGATGCAGTAGAGCTCTGTTCCCACCAAGCAAGTAAGAAAGTTATTGGGAGTATGATATGATAGACGATTACAATGTAAAACCTGTCATTCTTTAGGTCAACTTGAATGTCTTGGCCTTCTATGTTTCTGCTTCTAAATGACTTCATCTATAACATGTGAATTTTACTCTTGGGTTTTCTCTCTTGAAGGATGATCGTTCTTATAAGTTCAATCTTCTACATGGTTTTTCGGGTTCATTTTTCAATTGGAAACTCAATTGCAGATTTTGTCTGTTTGAGCCTCGTTGTGGCATGTATGATATCAGAGGTTGGTACATTGAAACATTTGGTCAGGACAGAAAAGGTCACTGGTCACACAGTGACATCAACGAGATATTGGAATGGCTGTGATGGAAGTGAGCTAAATGACAAGTATGTCGATCTCCTAGTTAAAGGAATGTAGAAATCCCAACTTCAATTTTTTTTACACAGGCGTTCTTTCAAGTTCGGGGAACCATGAAGTATAAAGTTATAGATCTTATTCTCTTTTTCCTTCTCACCCTTTGTTTAAACTTTAAACCACTACTTGTTTTGGTTGTTGGTATGACACACGAAGTTGCCCTATATCTATAAATTGTTTGACTTCTCTCTGTTTTTTTTTTGCCATTGCGGAAGACTCCACCCAGCAATGTGTTTGCTTGCTCTTGCTTATAGAACTCTAGACATTGAAAATGCAGAAAGAAATAAAAGACGAGTGACAGATATTGTTGGAAATCAATTAACAAGGATTCTCCATTGGTGCAAAAGATTTGCATAGACCTTACCTCTAACGTATGAATTATCCTTTTTATGCTTCCTTACTACTGATGTTTAAGGATGAGGAGATTGGGTGGAGCCACTGGTGCTATTGCTGAGGGTACTCTAGTAATTTGAGCATCTGGCTCTTTGAGTTTAACATACTCGAAGAACCTGCAGTGGATATGAAATGTATACTCATTGACATTCGGTTGTGGGGACTATTGCTAACCTTACCACAAGCTGCTCTTCGTGCCTGGTTTGCTCGCCCTGAATTGCGGCGATTTTCAGAAAACCATATGGTTGTGTGAGTGTTTTTCAGAACCATTATGTCAATTGTTGAAGTTCTGTTTTCTGGGTGTGTTCCCACATTTCCATTCTCTACATTACTTGATGTATGTCCATATTTCCGACTGTGAATCATTTTTTTTTTCTTCCAACGAATGGCTGAATTAGAATACGGAAACATGAGTTTTTATTTCACTAAGCGCTAGTTACAAAATATTGGGTTTAGAGGAAAACTGTGCCTCATTCCCCTCCTTTTACTTCAGGAGATCTTCCCATTTGCAGTATTGCCCACCAGCTAATGCTCGATAATATCTGTCTCTGCAGTACGCTGGTCTTCCATCAGCAGCTTTGGCAGCAGCTGCCGCTAAATCATCGTCAGTCTTGACTTCTCCAGGTAATTGAAGCAGCTCCTCTTTTCTGCAACATGTATATACCAAAATGTTGGATGTTGTAAACCCATACATCTGTGAGTAACACTGTTAATCCTTGCGATCATACCTTAGGTTATATTTTCCATTGATTTCTGTTGCTGGATTGTCATATCGTCTTTCCCTCATGAGAAAGGTGGTCTGGAAGAAATCTTCTACTGGTGTAGCAAATATGAACAGTGACACACCTGCAACCAGTAACGCTCCCGTCCCCACCAGAGTTTGTTTCAGCATCTTGATGACGGGTTTAACCTGGAGGGGCACAGTTTTCTTCGTAAGGCCAGCATTTTTTGGTCAGAGCTTTAGCTTTTAGATGGTATTCATTTCTTACCTTGTAAGAGCCCAGTAGTCTATCACGAGCCAGAACCTGAAAATGTTTAGGAAAAGAATTGTTCCGTAAGTACAGATTCCACTTACTCCATGAAGGGAAGTAGGGAACATCCACTCTACTGTCAAGTCTTTACGAAACAAAGATACCAGAGCCTTCATACATTATCTTTTTACCAAAATCTTGGAATGTATTCCTCTGCTAACAGTAGTAAGTTAACTAACATGTGCACAAGGATTGATGCACTAACCTCCGGTGGCTTCGCCCACATCTGGCCGTCATACCATCCAGTCTCCTCATACGGTATCACAGCAGATAGAAGTCTGTCACCAACGTAACTCCATCCCTTTAGCAGGTATATTGCCACTGATTAATGTTAGTTTCTTTGTGAAGGTCATTTGCAGGAAAGAAGAAGGGAGTTCCATTCAGTTTTGTGGTTAAGTTAATAATGCCATTTAATATATAGATGCACGTGTTATCGTATCACAAAGAGTTATGCAGAATGTTATGGCCTGGTAGGATTTTGAGAACCTTACCAGATAAATTCTTAAGACAATTAATGAAACGAGGAACAGTGTTCCTGTCCCGGCTGCCAGCGTGAACCTGAAGGGATCCTGTTTAAGATTAGGAAAAGAAATATGAGCTGAAATGAACACTAGTTATACCTTTTGCAAAAGCACTCGTTATACTATATCTATTGAGAATGGTTTATGCGATGACTCTGTATCGATGAAACTAACCTTTGTTGGATCGAAACTTGCAGCTGCAATTGGACCTCCAAGAACGGTGAGAGTTACCAGCCACAGCCCTCCAAGACGAAGGAAAAAGGGCCCCGTACCCAGCTCCGCCCACGAGTACAAGGTCGACTCTTTCAAGTTGGAGTATTCATTTACCTGCAGAGAAGCATCACTTTTACGAACAGAACTGGCTTCTTGATACTGACTAACGTACAGAACCATACTATAGAGGAGACATACCGGCCTTTGCTCAAAAGGGACCCCGATTTCGGCGTCAGGTTGCCAGCTCTGACCCGGGAAGCTGCTCGTTCCGCCATCAGCACCGTCTTTCAAGGTGGCCTTAACGAAAATCCTGCCAAATGGCTTCAGGGCCTTGTGGTACTTAATCACCTGCAGCGACCTGTACTGGCGGCTGCATCCTATGGCTCGAGCGAGGCGTTCGCCGGTGCATCCTATAGCCTGAGCTTGTCGAACGCCTCGGGGCGGCCGAGCGCAGTGGAGGCTTAGCTTGAGCATTTTGGGTTTTCCTTCTTCAGCTCCCTCAATCAGTACTCTGGCTGCAACAGAGTCCACTTGTTTTGTTCTCCATTCAGAGATCTTTTCCTCTCTAATGGAATCTCAGCCTTGGAAGTGTGGGACCCTCCTCATGGGGAGAAGACAAGAAAAGTGATGCGGGGTTGCCACTTCCACGCGGCGTCGTTCATTGCTTTTCATTATTGGTGGGATTGGGCCAGCGAAGCAGAAGGGATCGAACTTTAAGTGGTGGCTTGTGGTTGGAGATGGCGGCCAAACTGCGAACAACGTGGTTAAGTGTGTCAAGTGTGTCAGGTTGTGGCGCTTGCGCGCAGTCTGTGCGTGCACCGCGCCTGTACGGTGTTAGAAACAAAGTTTCTAACGGGTTCTAGAGATTGGGAATTTAGGGTTTATAGAATAGAATTGGGAATTTAAGGATTTGAGAAGATAGAATTAGGGATTTGGGAGAAGAATTGGGGAAGAATAGGAGAGAATCGGTCGAAACCTTTAGAGGGATTGAGATCAAGAATTGAGAGGATTGGGATAGGAATTTAGGGAGATAATTGTTTTATTGATTTCCCCTTCATGACGAATGACCCAAAGTACATATATATAGGGAAATACTAGAAAACCCTAAGAATAAACCTAATTCTACTAGAAGACTACTAACCATAATAAGAATTATCCTAATAATAATATTGATGATAACCATTAAAAATCGTGTTTCTAACATTCCCTCCCCCTTGAGACCAACCTTGCCCTCAAGGTTGATCGACTCGACCCTCTTCTCTATGTCGTCCATGCAAATCGAGCCTTGGCCAATCCATTTCTTGCGCTTCCTTTTCCTCCAATCATGCTCTTACTCGTCACTTGGGTCTTTGGCACTGATCTCCTCTGATGGGTCGCACACCTCGAATTTCGTTTCCATGGACCAACTCTTTTTACTTCATTGGCAAACTCAAACTTCGATAGCTCCTCTTTCTTTGGCTCCACATTCCAGCTACGTACGAAATTCAAAGATTCTTTTAAAAATCCAACCAACTCATTGAGACCTTCAAACATTTTTCTTGGCTCTAGCCCAAAAACTTGTCTTGTTAGTTCCCCAATTGGGTTTGGTTCATATTCTTCTGAGAGCCCACTTGCAAATCCCAAGAAATTGTCTAGCCAACCATTTAGGCCCACAGTCTTCAAATCCGATATACTCAAACAACCCATTTGAAGCCCCAAGTCTCTCTGAAAACTTGGCCTATACAAAACAGAGACCGGCCCATCCAAAGCCCAAGCCTCCCACTGGTCTGATTGGCCCAACCACAGATCCAAGCCACCTTGTCCTTTCTCCTCGAACCGGGCCGCACTTCTTGGCCCATCAGAAGGCCTAGGGTTGGTGCGTAGCAGGGAGGCGTCACCCTCCTTCCTTCCCCGGTTCGCCGGTCACTCCTCTGCTCCATTCTCTTTTGCGATTCGCGACGCAGCCGCCGCCTCACCTGCCCGCGCCGCCGCCGCATCGCCTGCCCGCGCCGCCGCAACGCGCTCCTCCACGTTGGCGCGACGCGCCTGCGCCACCTCCCGTTCCACCTCTGCCGCGCGACGTTCCCCTGCAGCGGCGCCCCCGGCCGCCGCGCCGGTCCGCCGCCACGGGCTGCTGCGCTTCCTCTTGTCGTGCCGTCACTGCAGCCACCCCGAGAGCCACCGACTTCGCCTCCTCCTTCCAGAGGCTCGCGATTTGCCACAACCTCTCTTGCATCTGAGCCCATGACTGTTCTGATTTTTCCATCGCTGATTCTCTGTTTTCTAAGCTGTCCCTGATGGAGTTGAGAAGAACTCACTGATCGGAACCGGGCTCTAATACCAGATGTTAGAAACAAAGTTTCTAACGGGTTCCTAGATCAGATCTAGAGATTGGGAATTTAGGGTTTATAGAATAGAATTGGGAATTTAGGGATTTGAGAAGATAGAATTAGGGATTTGGGAGAAGAATTGGGGAAGAATAGGAGAGAATCGGTCGAAACCTTTAGAGGGATTGAGGTCAAGAATTGAGAGGATTGAGATAGGAATTTAGGGAGATAATTGTTTTATTGATTTCCCCTTCATGACGAATGACCCAAAGTACATATATATAGGGAAATACTAGAAAATCCTAAGAATAAACCTAATTCTACTAGAAGACTACTAACCATAATAAGAATTATCCTAATAATAATATTGATGATAAACATTAAAAATTGTGTTTCTAACATACGGGTTCAACCAGTGGAGAAACTGCGTCTCTGTGGACGTTTTGGCTTAAATAGATGTAGAACTGGTCCTAATCACTCTGTTGAACATAAGACTTTTCTCACGTTTAGTATATACGGTCACAAATTTTTACATTTTGTACAAGATGGTTACAAACCTTTAATTTGTAATGATATTGTAACAAAAGCTTGAAATTGTATAAAATTGTTACTTTTGTTTAATTTGTCATCGTTTTGTATCAAGTGCAAACTGCGAACGACGTGGTTAAGTGTGTCTGTCAGGTTGTGGCGCTTGTACGCAAGTCTGTGTGTGCTCCGCGCTTGTACGGGTTCAACCAGTGGAGAAACGGTGTTTGTTTGGCGTTTTGACTTAAAGACAGTAGATGTTGAACCAGTCCTAATCTATTCACTAGTTTGTTTAAAGGATTGCGAGTAGAGATGGCAAATGGATTGGATTTATTACCGAAGTTATGCTTTGAAACAGACTGAATTTATTTATTCTGTCCTTGATGCATGTCATGACTTAACTAGTTTTATGCAGCAAATTTTGTTTCCTAAACAAAACAAGACGCACAATTGGAACAAAAACTAGGAATAGTGGTTGTGAGTTTCTGAGTTTCCTGCTTTATTTTCTGCCCGAAGTTTGCTATAATTGCAATTGCCAGTGGCATTGTGGTCACATGGACATTGCATTGCACAAACTAGGCATATAATACTGTCTCCTTTTGAAGCCTTTTCTCCAGTAGTCTGCCGCAGGGACTTCTTTTTTACTTGGATGCTTAGCGAATCAAAAGAAGGTTTGCTAATAGAAGACCTGATGTCATTTTATTGTGACAAATGAAGCAGCAAGTTTCTAAGCTATTCTGTGCTTCACTGAAAGAGAGGTGCACGTCTACTATACCCATACATGGACGTCTCTAGAATTTGCTCTTCATCAACAATTTAGTTCTTGTAAATTGGTGGCAGAATTCTTCTTCATTGCTGCAGACTTTGATTTTCAGCTGACGTTTATGATAGTCATAGTAGCCTAGTCTATTTGTCGTGGTGGCCTAGCGTTCTGCTGAGTTCCTATGACCTTCAATATGAGGCATCTCAGGTTGAAGTTATTGATCTCCTCTCCATTGATCAAGCCATAGGTAATGAAACTGTATAGAACTTAGTTAGAACAGAAAGTTATTTGGTGGTTTGGTATCAGCATTTGATGTCTTTAGCAACAAGTGATCTTGTTTTCTGTATTTAGAGAAAAAGATCATTAAAGCAAGGCAAAATACAGTTCCATAGCCAAAACTTTCACGTTTGTGCCAATAATAGCCACATTTGGCAAAATACCACTTATAGCCACCTTTTGAAAATGTTGTTGGACAAATATAGCCTTTTCCGTTAGAAACATTGACGGCGTTACTAACACCGTCAAATAAGCAGACGGTTTGCTGATTAGGCGAGAAGAACACTTCCACGTCAGCGCCAACTAAGCAAGTCTTGACACGTCATCTTGACACGTCATATATTCATTTATTAAAAATAAAAACTTATATATTACATTATTAAAAAAAAAATCAGACTATATATTCCATTTCCATCGAAACCAATCCTTCAGCCCCTATTTTTGCCCGATACAAAAATTAGGGTTCCTCTCCCAAACTTCAAATTTCGACTCTTCTCCCCGAATCCTCAACTTTCCACTCTCCCCGATTCCTATACTAATCGATTCCTATTTCGGAATTAGGGTTCTTCCCCCAAATTCCACTCTCCACGAATCCTCTACTCCCTTCTGATTGAATCCTCACTCCCCTCCGCGATTCCGATTCATATCGATTCTGTTCCGACTCGCAACGACGACGATTGCGACGCAACCCTCTCCTTCTCCTTTCGCGATTTCTCCTGCCCAGCACTTCAAGCGAGCTGCAGGCATGTCCAGGCGAATAGCTTCCTCAAGTTCGACTAGCACTCAGAGACTAGGCGTGGTACTCTGTTGGTGCAATAAGCCTTGTGTGGTCAAGACATCCGCCACAGAGTTAAACCCAGGCAGGCAGTTCTATGGGTGTCCTTTTTGGAAGGTAAGGTGGCGTAGACATGATTTATGCATTTTTGTGGTACTTGTGTGTGAGCTTTAGTCGCAAGTTGATCGTTGTAATGGTGCAGGACGAGACCAAGAATTGTCGCTTTTTTAGGTGGGTGCGACAGAATGCTGATGAAGATAAGCAAGCAAACTCTGAAAGTAGTTGTTCGATTCTGAAGCTCGAAGACAGTTTGCGTACAACACAGTGTAAGGCTGAGAGGAGGAAGAAAGAGATGAAAATTCTGTCCGATGAGTTATCTAGATTGATGAAAGCACATGAGATTATGGTTGCTGAAGGGAGGAGGGTTGATCATGATATTCATGTAATTCGTTATCAGATCACTGTTATTGTCGTACTCAATTTGATAATGGTTGTTCTTCTATGGCACCACTTTCTGATGTAGAATGTTTTGTAATTTGACAAGGTTGTTTCGTATGTGTAAGAACCTGTTGGTAACATTTATGATCAATGTAGCTTTTGGTAAGACAATCTTCATTCCGAACTAACGGTGTTCCAATTACATACCCCCATTATAGAACATAGTAACCATAATCCGAAGTTTTCCAATTACATACCCCCATTATAGAAGTCGGTACACATAATCCGAAGTGTTCACAATCTGACCTAAAAGAACATACTTGGCCCTAACATACACTTGGCCCTAACATACAACCTCATCTTGGCGTTGTGAAGCACCAGGAGCTGCTCCCTCAGCAGCCAACCCATCTGTTTCAGAATCTTCTTCATCTGATCCTTCTTCCTCGAAATCATCAAGCTGCTCAACCTCCTCCCCATGGCCATCAACCCGGGCCTTTACCTTCCTCTTCTTCATCTCCCCATAAGCTCGCAGATTTGCCCTTGCTTCATGGTATTCGTCGTCACTTGTATCTGCATCATCTGAGTCGTATACGTGGTATATGTCTCGAGCAACAGAGGCCTCAACACCATCATCTGCAGCCAAGGATATATCTGATAAAACCACAGCCGCTGGATCGTTCTCCCCAAATGCTTCGTCCCAAGAATCAGCCATCTGTCATTCACGATTAAGATAAATTGTATTATAATCACCATTAACCACGTGATTATACAAAATAAACTGTATTTTACTCACTACCTAACAAATGGAAAACAACAACGAAAAACAGTATTCAATTCTAGGGTTTGTGGACAGCAATAGGAATTGACAAATCTAACCTAGTAGAATCGACCCACTCACCTTCAGTTATGGGGGCAAACTCGCCAAAAAAATGAATCCAGTGGTCCCTAGATGTCTCTGTCCTGTACCTCTCTCGCCTTTACAGCTCGCTACCAACCAAAAAAGATGAAACTATAAGAACCTTTCGACAAGCTTTCAGAATTCAATTGCAGCTATCAAACCCACAATAAAGAACCAAGAAAGTTTCCTTACCAGTCGCGACTGACGAGGGAGAGGACAAATCGGCTTCGAGGGAAGATTAGGGTTTCAGAGTACAATCGGTCGATTCCCACTTTCCTCCTAAGCATGCAGAAGAGAAGAAGCTTAGAAAGATTCGGCCAAAGCTCGGCGTCGATTAGTCAACCCATTCTCTGTTATGTTTCTCGAGGAAGGAGGCGGTAGGTTCACTTTCGGATTATCGAGGAAAATCGAGATTGGAGATGAGAAGGGTCTAGATTGATGGTGGCGGAAGGAATAAGGGGTTCGTCGGAGGGGGTTCGTCGGAGGGGGGGCGTCGGAGGTGGGGCGTCGGAGGAAGATGGTCTTCGTGGTGCTTCGTGCTCGTCGCCTTTCGAAGGAAGATGGGTGGGTGGTTTCAGAGAAAGAAGATAAGGTAAGATGGAAAAGTCGACCAAATGGTCGGTGGGTAGGCTATTTCGTGTTTTGTATTTTTTTTTTAATTATTCGCCACGTGGAAATCACTGGCGGTCCACGTAAGCTGCTCCGTTTGCCCAGTCACACTTAACGTTAACAGCGTTAAAGAATTGGACGGAGGTGGCTATAAGTGGTATTTCGCCAAATGTGGCTATTATTGGCACAAACGTGAAAGTTTTGGCTATGGAACTGTATTTTGCCTTAAAGCAATGGTGTATTCATACTTGGTGTCTCTAAATATTTCACATTGGTGGATCTCATGTACTTTATCGTGCGAAAACTTACCTACTTCACTGGAAAGCTGAGCCCCAGTGGGAACCTCTCCGCTGCATTTCACAGACAATGAAACAGTTGAGTCTTGAAGTTTATCTTTTGGACTCAACTTGCTTTGTTCTTCTGTTCCTTTCATTACCAACCCAACTTAGCAACAACACTAAAAAAAAAACAAAAAAAGGAAAAAGTAGAATGGACAGCAGATAAGAAAGAGATGTGAAAGTTATTTCTGTTCCATTATCCTCTCACACAGAAGGTTTTCTCTGCAGAAATTGGAACCAAATATAGAGTAACAGATTCATTACTTTGCTTATCTAGTGAGATTCCTCTTTGACCATGTCTTCCCAAGTCTGGTATAAGTTCCAACTGTCGCTGGTCAATATTTTCCTGGCCAAAGACCAAAGTTATTTGTCTGCTTGATCTCCATGAGCAATATAGAACGCATTTGTAACTTCAGATATACTAATTTTGGTTTGCAGCCAGGACCCTATGCCTTAGAACATCCTACTACACACTTTAAGCATTTGCACTTTTAACATTCGCGAAAGCACTTTGGCTAATCCTGGAACATTCATGAACGCAGTTGTTGGTCATGACGACGGTGCATGAGCAAACCCAATTAATTTTAACAAAAGCACAAGGGAAATCAGACAAGAGCACAGTCATAGATACATTACACACTAATTACTTTTTCCCCCCCTTTTGCATTACATGTCGATTGGCTCCAGTGAAATAGTTTCCCAGTCATCACTGACCTCTTTTGACACCACACAACTTCACTAAGGCCGGCCGACGTCTGAAATCCCCTTTATCCCCTCCAATTTGGTGCTGATTTGGTTGTAAAGTAGCTAGCTAGTGGTAAAGCAGAGGTTGAAAGGAACCCATGTTTTTGGTCATTCCACTCTGACTCTGGCCCCTCCCACAGTCCCAGGAATGGTATTTGGACATCTATTTAAGACTCATCATTTCATAGTTGTTGGTTACCAGTGAATGTGCATTTGCAGCATAGTTTTGCCATGAAGTTCCTGAGTACACAAAGCATGAGAAGAATCCCATTTTTGAGGTGGGGGAAGAGGATTCCGCGCTCCACTTCAGCTGCTGCCATGGTTGCTATTGTTGACAGGAAGACAAAGGTCCCATTGGGTAGTTGTAGGAGTAATAGGTCTTATGTTCCGAAGCGATGGGTTTACAAGCTGAGGTCGCAGTGGAAGCGAGCAATCGGGTGGCACAAGAGCAACAGCACTACTTCACAGTTCAGCTATGACATCCGTAGCTACGCTCTCAATTTCGATGACGGTGGCTGCCTTGATCACGTCCTTAGAACCCACATTTTGTAGAGGAAATGGTAGGAGGTTTGATCTCAATTCTTCTTCCATTTTCTTTGGCAGTATAAGACTGGTGATATTTTTGGAACCAGAGCATTTGTATAGTATGTAAGCTTGTATGAATAGCAGCAGCTCCTGCTGGGCAAAGTCACTGGGAGTGCTGTAAGAGTTTATTATTTTCTATGGTTGTTCCCTTCTGTACAGTTTCTGTATTGAATGCACTACACAAAAGATTTAATGCACAAGAAAACATGTCCTGCTTAAAGGTATTGCCAAATACTCCCAGTGCCAAGGAAGAATTTCAGTATTGTAGTCAACGGAGCTCCACCCAGATCTCTATTCCCAAAAATGGCTGCTCTAGTAATCCAATCCAGTTCATTTGATGCACTTTGCATTAAGGATGTTCAATTGTGTAGGGAGAGAGGGCCTCATAAGTCAAAAGGGAGCTGTAGAGGTGGTAATTGGATCAGATTCGTGGATTCGTGGAATGGATTGGTGGATCAATGGATATCCAATGGATTGGATCCAATGAATTGGATCAAATGGATTGGTGGATTGATCCATGAATCCAAATGACATCCAAGGCTTGGACAAAAATGTAAAATTTGAGAAGTTTTGGTACTAAAATGTCATAATGAAAAATTTTAGGTACCAAATGTAATTTTCTAATGATATTTTTCGTATAAAAATATAAATTTTAGGTACCAAAATGTAAAATATAAAAATATAGGTACCAAATCGTAATTTGCCATTTGGATCAATGGATTGATCCATGAATCGACCAATCCTATAGGATTTGGATCAAATGAATTGGATTTAAATGGATTGAATTAGGTAAATAATTTGGTGGATGAATTGGATTGGATTCATGGATTTGGATCCTAATTGTCACCTCTAGGGAGCTGTAATGGCTCCTATTAAACGTAAAATGACCATATTAATTAGTTTGGAGTAGGAGGGGAATTTAATTGTCCCTCGAAGTACGAGGGGAGTACTGGAAACATGCATGGGGGCAGGAAAAGAAAGGTCATAAAATAAAAGAGAGGTTTCTGGATTTAGCTTTAGAGATACTCTAGGGAGAATTTGGTTAGCATGGAAAGATGAAATGTAATCGAGTATTTTGACTTCTGATGCCAATTTCGTTCATGCTCTAGTATATCTATCACAACAAATGAGCAATTTTTCTCTATAGCTCATGTATTTGCTTGCAATGAAGAAGGGAGGAGAGGAGCTACTTGCTCTAAGATTAATCGATGGATGGTGATGGGTTTTTCCTGGTTAGTTAGCGGTGATTTTAATGCTATTTTTAACCCAGTTGAACGCAAGGACAAGAGGAAACTAGTCCGACAACTAGAGGACTTGATTGGCGCTAGCTACAAAGAATATCGACTGCAAGGGATTCAACTTGGTCTATTCTTCCTCTATCGTAATCATATTTTTCTTTATATTGATCCGGTAACCTACATTATCCAAATTGTGTGGAACATCAGATTGTTCCAAATATTCGGGACATAGTATGATTTGATTTCTATACTTTTTTTAATCTTCAGTTTCGTGTTTGATTATTCATTCTTTCTTATTTCAAATTGCCCAGCATGGAGTTGAATCTCGATTGAGAAATGAAATTTATTGCAAATCATGTTCGACTGTGAATGTCTTTGTCATGTATTGGAAGTTTGGTATAAGTTGTCACTCTCAACGGTCAATTTTCCCCCTCTACAAGCCTGCTTGATCTCCATGAGCCATATAGAATGCATTTATAATTTTTCCTCCTTGACCCTTTCTCTATATAAGTTTATAGGGATTTTCTATGGTAACTTGAAGTAAGGTATCTTGAATTTTTTACCTACTATAGCAAGTTTCATAGGTCATATTACGTAAAATGTATAGGCATTACATAATGAGCATTAACCTCATGTTATGTAAAGTGCTAAGTCGTTACTAGAACTTTACGTAACACTTCTAATTCAATAAGAATTAAAATAAAGAAAGTGTAAAATAAGGAAGAACAGCTAAATATGTAAAAGGAAAGAAGAAAAAAACAAGAAAGGTAAATGCCAGGGTGATGACCGGCAACCCCTGTTCCCACTAAAATTTTGGGCATTGCTATTCGTCGCTTTGAAATTTAAATTTTTTCGCCCTAAATCATAATACATTGACATTTGTACCCCTATTTCCAATTTCAATCTCTAACCCCTAAACCAGCGGAATTCGAACATCCACCGATAATCCAAGAATCGGTGGTGAGAGGGTCAGAGAAAGAGGCCGGAAGTTCGATCGGTCTCAATGTCTGCCACGAGATCGGAGAAGGAACTGTGGTTTTAACCGCGAGAAATGAGGAAAAAATCCCAAGTTACACATGTTTTTAAAAAAATTTCTCAAAATACACACGTTATGAAAATAATTCCCAATCTACGCATGTTTGGGCCATCACCGCTGTCGATGAAGACAGTGATTGCATCACTGCAGTACACGGCCGCGGTGAAGACCTGACCTGCGTCGAAACTTTAAACAAACGTAACTTTGTGCTCGGTTATCCGATCGTAGCGAATTTTTTTTTTATTCCGCATAATTTTTCGAGATCTTACAAGCCGCAAATTGCCGTAGGCGGTTTGGTCCCGCCTTCGTCTCGAAAATATGTCGTTTGCTACCCCGAACGAGCCTTTTTTCGATTTCGTCAAACTTTGAACGACCATAACTTTGTGCTCCACAATCCGAAAATCATGAATTTTTTTTTATTTCGCATAACTTTTTAAGGACTAAAATATAAGTGGTATTTCGGGAAATTTGGATATTATTGGCACAACCGTGAAAGTTTTGGATATACAAGTGTATTAAACCTAAATTTTATTGTTTTTATCAAATGAAAATCATTCGGGCTAGATTTTCTACGCTAAATTTATTGTAGTGGTTTGGATATGTTCATCTAAACCATTTTTCTAGTTACAAAAAATTCTATTATCAAATAACACTAAGTCGATTTTTAAATAGCACTGGGCCGAATATCTAAAATTGAATATTTTATAAGATCTATACTAGCTCTGGATCCGGAGGAGGGCTAGGCCGTGGTCCGAGTTGGCCCAGTCCTAGATCCGCCGCTGACGGTGATACTGGCGCTGATATGGATGCACAGAAGCGCCGACTTTCTCAAAGAGGATAGAGAAATAGAAAAAAGAAGCAGGAAAGAGGAATTATGTTTATGGTTTATTTATTTCTCTCTTAATCGAACCTGGTCCAAGAAATTCAAAACAAATCGTTATGGTTTGAACCGGCCATATTTAGTGACGGTACAAGTGATGTACCAGCACCCTAGAATTCCCCACAAGTTAATTAACTAACTTGAAAATATACCCCAAGTTATTGTAGGAGATCCGAACTTCATATTTTAGCTATACGAGTTTTATTTGCCGCCAAAAACCTAGTCGGTAGCACTTCCATATATGTAAACCTTATGCATATGAACATTCTCGAAAGCACTTTGCCAATGCAATGTTTGGATATTGTGGCCCCCTTAGGATAACAGATCTTTCATTCTTTTCGGTCAAGAAGACGATGGATGAGCAAACCTAATCCAACCTTTTCTCTCAACTTTTGCCTTTCAAACTTTAAGCAATGCGCATGGGAGATGACACAAGAGGATACACACTAATTACTTTCCTCCTCCCTTTTGCGTAGCATGTATGTTGTTTTGGCCCCAGTGAAAAAGTTTCCCAGTCATCACTGGCCTCTTTTGACACCACACAACTTCACTAAGGCCGGCCGACGTCTGAAATCCCCTCTTTTTGTCACCAAACATTGGGGCCATTTTGATTTGACTGCAAAAGTAGCTAGTGGGTAAAGCAAAGATTGAAACTTGAGAAAGTAACACATGTTCTGTAATTTTGGCCCCTGCCTCTAGTGATGTTTGGAGATCTATTTAAGACTCATCATTTCATAGTTGTTGGTACCAATAAGAAAGTTACAACTTCTAGCTCCATCTAACAACCTTCCCTTTCTCTCTCTCTATCTCAATTCATTTGATTCCTCAACTTGCAGCATAGTTTTGCCATGAAGTTCCTGAATACACAAAGCATGAGAAGAAGCCAGTTCTTGAGGTGGGGGAAGAGGATTCCGAGCTCCACGTCAGCTGCTGCCATGGTATCCATTGTTGACAAGAAGGCAAAAGTTGCATTGGGCAGCTGCAGGAGTAATAGGTCTTATGTCCCTAAGAGATGGGTTTACAAGCTGAGGTCACAGTGGAAGCGAGCAATCGGGTGGCACAAGAGCAGCAGCAGCACTACTTCACAGTTCAGCTATGACATCCGTAGCTACGCTCTCAATTTCGATGACGGTGGCTGCCTTGATCAGGTCCTTAGAAGCCACGTTTTGTAGAGGAAATGTTAGGAGCTTTGATCTCAATTGTTCTTCCCTTTTCTATGTACATAAGACTGTCGATATTCTAGGCACCAGAAAGTATGTATATTATGTAAGCAGCTCCTGCTGGCTGCTGCGCATAGTCACCGGCAAGCCTGTGAAAGTTTATTATCTTCTATGGCTGCTCCCTTCAGTACAGTTTCTGCATTGAAAACCCTTTAATTTTCTATTGGGATATTGATGTTACTAGTTCTTTTTTACGGCCAAAGGAATTTATGTAACTACACATTTCCTATGTATTACTGGTCACCATCCACTCTTTCTATCTTTCTTGCTCGACTTCCAGAATCTTAGGAATACATATACATGTCTCTAATGAATTTAGTTTGAGAAAAACAATTTTGTCTGTATTTGAGCTTTAAGGTACATATTCTTATAGAGGAATTTTACAATGCTTTAAAGCATTGGTGCCTTAGTTTTTTTTCTTTATGGTACAACTTGAAATTGTATCTATAATTTTTTGTAAAATCCCTTTTATGGTACAAACTAAAGTTGTACATTTAAGTTATGGTACAACCTGAAGAGTTGAAGTTGTACCACAAAATAAAAGTCAAATTCTCTTATGGTACAACTCTAATTTGTACCTTTAACGTTATGATACAACTTCGAGTTGTACTTTAAAGCACCAATACTTTGACGTATAGTAGAAGTGCTCAATCTTATATCAATGCTCACTGGAATTACTATTTTTATTATACCGATGATAATACTTTGACACAAGAAAATTGTAAATTGTAAAAAGGACGAGACTCCAAATGAAAGCTTCTTATATTCACTCATCGGGATTCCCTACGGTAACTTGGGTATAATTTTAAGTTAGTTAATTTGAATAAATCTGAACCATTAAAATATATCCTAATCACTTTAAACCATTGATTAAAAAGGAAAAAAATAAACGAAAAATAGGAAATAACTTGTAACCGGCAGTGCCGGGTTTCTTGCGTTCTCCACGACCCCGTTCATTGTTCCTGCCAACATCAACATTGTCCTGATCTCGCTCATGGCGTGCCTGAAATGCCGCGGCATCCACCTGGGGTCTCTGTTTGCGGCAATTTGCTTGTGCTGCTCTTTAGTGGCCGCAAGACGGTACGCTTCAGCAATGGTAGGGGTAGGCTTCATGGATAGTACTTGCATCTTAACCGTTGAAAATCATCGCCTAGGCCATTAAGAAATCAAAAAGACGTTCACTTTCCAGGTTAGTCACAACCTTTTCCCCAACATCGCAGGTGCACAGCCCGCACGTGCAACGCGGATTCATAGTGATTGTTTGCATTTTTCCCAAAGCGCACGAAGCTTGGTATAAAAAGTGGACACACTAAGCTTCTCTTGCCGGAGTGCAGTCACTTCCTGCCGAAGTTCATATGCGCGTGTTGTTGTCCCAGTTCCGAATCAAGACTCTAGATCCAACCAAATCTCCCAAGTTGTCTTGGCATAACGAATCGAGCTTCTGATCTCCTTATCCATGGCTGTCTTCAGCCATCCCTTGACCAGCGCATCGCACTGTAGCAATGATTCTCGAATTTCACCCACAGCTTCAGGTTTGACTAGGTCGCCATTCACAATTCCAAGTTTATTCTTGGCGATTAGGGTTTCGGTCATATCAGTGACTCATTCTCCATAGTTGGAGTCGTTCAACACCTCTCCCACAAACAGTTGACCAGGGTTGTCCGATGATTGCATCCTCAGAGCTGCGGGGATCGCCGGAGGGATCGGTTTTTCCCCTCCACTGCCGTCGCTAGCGTTGACCATAGCGCCATCATCACGGCCAGTTCCGCCAGACATCTTGTGGGTGCTGATTTATAAAACCAGCTCTGATACCATGTCATAAAGCCAGTTGGTCCCAACAACTCGAGTTATTGGGACCAATTGGTTAGGACATGGTATCAAACCAATTGGTTATGACATGATATCAGAGCTGGTTTGTCCTTGAGGTAACGTGTTCAAGTCCTCACGACCCCCAATATTAACTGTTGTCTTTCAAGCACATGGTATGGCGGGCCTGTGCAAACTTCAAACCCATGAGTCGGTTTTCGTTTGAGGGGGCGTGTAAGGAAGTAGTTAAGTACCATACATGGGCATGTATAAGATCCAACATAACCTTTTCCCAATAACTCGAGTTATTGGGACGAACTGGTTTATGACACGTTGAATGACTGATTCTTATGGTGAACTCCTATCGCGATGAATTAAACATGTCATGCTGCTTGTCAATCACATCGGAAAGTTATACCTTTTATAATTTGATTGTTATCATTAGACCACACATTACGAAAAATGTGTGTAATACCATTCTATAAAAGTTATATAAAATATAAATATATTACTAATTTTTTTTGAAATAATAATAATTTCTTATATATTAATTAAACAAACGTATTACATAAGTTTTACCATCGGGAAGCACGGGTCATAAACTAGTTATTCTTTATAGTTGTATATGCTTCCAATGACGAAGGGGAGAGATGAGCTACTTATTCTAGGATTAGTCGATGGATGGTGAGGGGTTTTCCTGGTTAGTTAGTGATGATTTTAATCCTACACTTAACCTAGTTGAAGACAAAGACAAGAGGAAACTAGTTCGACACCTTGATGACTTGATTGGCGATAGAAGAATATTAAACTTGGTCTATTCTTTCCCTATTTTAATCATTAGTTTTTTTGCCCGCGCTTCGCAGCGGTAAGAAACTAATATATTTAAAACTTCATTAACTCAATTTAATAATTTAGTTAAAATCAAATAATTCACAAATTAGTTTGGGTACGTTACCTATATAACCTTTACACTCGGTCTTAATAATATAAAATAATTATGTAATATATTTAACTAATTGATAGATAAGAAATAACTATCATCGATATATTTTCTAAAATCTCATATCCAAAGCTTCCTAATTAGCACATAAAGTGAAACAACTTATAACTTCATTTCCACATCTAATCATTCAACAGAAATGGATGCACAAACCAATCCAATTTATTTATAACTATTAAAATGATAATTATAAAAATAATATGTAAAGTATATATAAGATAATCTGAATATTCAATATTCCATTCCTCTTAATTACAGGGACAGACTTGGAGAGGAATTTGTTAACCAATGAGATCGAAAAATTTGTTGTAAACTCAGTTTGATTTTTAGTTTGAGCTATGTCTCTCTTGTTTGATATAGGGCTTCCATCAAGAGATTAAAAATGCTCTCAGACACTTATTGGATAAGTCGCCCATTACATGGCACTTGCTCAACTCATTTATATTCCGAATAACCATAGTATCTTTAAATGATAAATTGGTAGTTTTTTTAAGATCACCTCTTTTTGCTATAATTGACAATGTTTTCAGCCTTATCAAAGTTAGACCTCTTCTTTTAGTCGAGTTACTTTCTTCCAACCATAAACTTAAGAGATCACAATTATTTTGTAATTCTTAACTTGAATTGAATTGAAATGTCAGCATTGGCTTACATGTACGTATTACTGTGAAACTAAAAGGAATTGGCAAATACGTTTTGGTGTATTACAAACTAATTATACTAATAGTTTAACATATGCTAATGTCCTCCTATTACATTTTGATCCGGGTGTAAGTCTTTAATTAATGTGGTTGGACAATTTGAAGTTTCTTTAGGAATATCCGACTAAAATCTAATTAGCCAATAATTGACCAATACAATGATAATATCAGTTCATAAGATTAGTAGATGGAGATAATTGCTACTCAGAGCAAAATAGCAATGCAAGAAAATCAAATGGCTGATTAGTTTAGTTTTTCTTCAGATAAGTTCTCTAAACACTTGCTGATAAAGAAGTTGTATGCTTAGAACACATGTCCAGAAATCAGAGATTCTGAAAGCTAGGCTAATGTGTTAAGTTGAAAGAGAGAAAGACCATCACATCCACATTCCAATAATTATTATATATTTATTGTCTTCCCTTTTATTATTACATCAAGTCTAATAATATGCCTTGTAAAAAAAAAGTCTAATAATATGCATGTTGGACACTTGGGTTAAGATGGGCCTCAAATAGGAACATGTGTCGCCACCCATGTTTGCCCTTCCTCTGCCTCTCAACAATCTCTTCCTCAATTATCAAGCACACATTTATAATATACCGAGCGGAGAAATAAGAATCACTAAACTTCCTCAATTATGAAGCAGAAGCAGAAGCAAAGCACCCTTAAAACATGATTCTTTTTTGCCTTTGGCGGTTGCGAGGGATTGAGAGATGGCCTTAGCCTGGATGATGAGGCTTTCTATTCTTACTCATTGTGTTGGATAAAGGGGAATCGGAGGATTTGTTAGGATTAAGGGAAATTTGAGGGTCTGTTCTATGAATGTTTGTCTTTTAAAGGGAAAGCGGAGGCTCTGGTCTAGGTGCCGACACTCTAGGAGTTCGATGTCGTCATTGGGCTAAGCTCCGTACCCAGATTTGTCTACGAAGCCTGCAATCCCTAGTTTTGATTTCCCAGAGAAGAAGATGTTGATTTTCTGAAGAAGGGATATGGAAGTTCTTCGGAAAGAAGAAACGGGATTTTTCGGGGAAATCTGGCTTTTGCAAGTCTCCCACCGGCGTGCCGTTTAGCTGGTTCGCGGAGGTGAGAGAGAGAAGGAAGAATAGAGCCCTTGCTTCAATTTCGTAGATTTGTGTCGCCGTCGTCTCCCGTCGGAGATGGGAGGTGGTGAACTTGAAAGACAGTCGTGAGGGGAGAGAAGGAAGAAGGTTTGGGAAGTGAGACCCATCAATATATTTTCCTTTTTTTTATGGAAGGCCACCGATCTGGTGTAGCTGTTTTTTTGTGAACTGATGAATCTTATAAACCAAAAATCCCATCAACGGCCACGTTTGGCCAGCCCAACATATGTACACATGGGCTCACGTTAATTATACCGCAGCCAATTATTCAGCCCCTTTGTGAACAGTATAGTGCGATTATTTCGTAATGAACAGTGAATTGCT